CTCGGTCCCAAAGGAACATTATCTGGGAAAGTTAGAGGAATCTTCCCCATATCTGTTCGGTTGAAAGTTGTGACGCTTGGAAACGTACTGTCAACGTACGTTGGCCCTGCAAACGTTGATCTTGGAAAAATCGCCTGAAAACGAGCAGGTGACACGGCTGGAAGCATGTTTGGATACAGGGTGAATCTGGAGAATGCCTGATCCACCATGTTCTGTATTAGATTTTGTTGTTCACGCAACATGTTCGTTTGTTGCTCACGCAACATGTTCTGCATAACCAAAGTTTGCTGGTTGTTCATTTGTTGAACATAAGACAACCAATCGGTAGGTGGTGGGGGAATCTCCCCTGGATTTGGCATGACTGGTGGTGAAACATTCTCTCCCACCGGTGCTGATGATGATTGAGGTTGTGTGCCTGCCATATTGATTTTTCTGATGATTCGGCCAGACCTCAGTTGTATGACATTTTTTGTTGATGTAGGATCAGCAATCTTGCCTTTCTCCCACTGTGGTCGTCAATTTGTTGATGTAATTTTTCAACAAAAATAAAGTAAAATTCAAAGATATAGAAAATATCCTTAAACTTGATTAATTAGTGCCTGAGATTAGGAATTTCTAAACACTGTATGGTACAGAAAATAAACTGGAAAATAAAAGACTGAAATTTAAAGTGGTGATCCCCAACTCTGACTTTGCTTTGTTGAAGTTGATTGAAGATACCTTGCCAAATGATGATCCAAATCCTTAAATATTCTTTGAAGAAAACGTTCAGAACCGTCGTCTGGTCAGTTACCATAACCGTTGTTAACCGCCCCAAAATTTCTCTTCTATTGACACGTGTGTCAACCGTTCTACTACGTCCGACCTTAAAAAAAAAACCGTTCGCCAGTTGCAACTTCCTCTAACCGCCCCAGAACTGCTCTTTCACCCGACATGCACATGCTACTTCACTTGGTCCGAACTTCGTATCACGTCCTGACCTCAATGCCCAACCTGCTTCTTCGCCCGACATCATTTGGGCCGACCTCCGCATCAGCCGCCCTCCGTCTTTGACCGACTTTAATTGGTCCGACCATGGACCAACCAAATGTGGTCCCTACCACGGACCAACCGACCGGCTCTATTTGCCTTATCTCTTTAGAAGGACAGACTGTCCTCTGGACAGACCTCCGCATCTGTCCGTACCTCTTCCTTGCCCGACCTTTCTCTTGACAAACCTTCGCGTCTGCCCGACTTCGTCTTTCACCCGATCTACGGTTTACCCGACTTGGGTACACCTTTTTTTTTAGACTCCGCCCGACCTTTCTTCCTTCCCGATCCTTGCATCTGTCCGATTGCACCCGACTTCTGGGTCATTTAACTTATATCCAGACCCGTCCAGAATCCCACTGCCATTATTTATTATTTATTTTTTTTTGTGCTTAACAATTATATTATATGTAAATATTATATTATATATTTATTTTTATCGATATTTATTCTTTTAAAATTCTTTTCAATCATAATCAATATATAAAATAAAAATAAAATTTATTTCAAAATATTAATTTTTTGATTTCAAAATATTATAAAAAAATTTATTTGCTATAATAATATTATTTTATACACTCCAAAATCGGAGCATTACATATAGTGCACAGATACGTAAAATTTAGATAGAAGAACTATTAGCTAGAAATCAATATTCAAGTTTAACTTATTTTATTAATTGAACATTTTAGATCTGATATAACCTTGAGTTGCATAATTCAGTCGATATTTTAGAGTGAAGATGATAGTTGAAGCTTAGATAAATCAAATATAACCGTGAATTGCATAATTGAATCAAATATTTCAGTATTTCGAATCTACGTGTAAGGGAGTGTGTGAGTTAATTTTCAATCGATATTATAATTTTTTAATATTATATATAATTTATTATAAAATTACATACTTATTTTTCAATTAAATCTCCACCATTAGAGATTACATACAATTAATAACTTAGATTAATCTTAGCATTTCTGAATTTTTTTAACCAACATGAAACGGGCATCTTATTTTTATTTATCTCCGCTTATTTAGGCCATCTACAACCTCTCAATATATTTTTGCAGTAGCTACAATAAAAATGCACTTGATCTGCAGTAATTTTATTTCAATCATAAATTTCAATTTTCACTTTAAAAAGTATATTATAATTTTCACTTTAAAAAGTATATTATCTTTTATATTATAATTTTTATATTTATAAATTACACCATAACTTTAATTTATTTTTACATTATAACCAAAACTATAATTTATATTTTATTTAAAAATTACATATGAAAATTAACATTTATAATTAATAACTATTACAAATAAAATATTTTTAAATAAATAATTAAATGCTATCAAGACAAATATGATATAATAATTAAACAAAGATAACATAATATTAAACATGCATTGCATTCATAGTTCAAATAAAATATGACATACTACAAAAAATTATCAATTTTGTAACAAGGTTTTTTTCGTTCCTAAATTCATTTTTTTCGTTACTAATGATATTAGAGACGGAATTAGAGATGAAATTACGTTAGCTACGTGAACTTTAGGAACGAAATTCCGTTACAAATATACTATTTTTTTTTGTAGTGTATATTGCTCTCATATATGCTTTATTAAATCATTATGGAGTGCGAAATGAACATCTTTATCTCTAATTTATCTATATCGGACAAGAAACTGTTGAAGTTGGATGGTTTCATCGGTTGTCATTTCCACTAATGAGGTGCTGCTTCTAAAGCTTCTCTGATAGGTGCACTGAAATTTCGTTCATTTTCTATTATCATATTACATATAATAATGCAAGTAGTGATAATATCATGCAGAATTTTTTTTTTGCCAAAATCGAAAAATTCCAACAATTATATGCCAACGTGATTGTAGAATTCCGAAAGCACACTCAACATCTTTTCTACAAGACTCTTGTTTCTGTGCAAAAAGTATTTTTTTCGGACCTCATGTATCATAAATAGTTTGCACAAGAGTAGCTCACTTAAGATAAATACCATTAGCTAAATAATACCCCATATTGTATTCTTTCCCTTGAAGGTTATAATGTACAGGAGGAGTAATACCTAGAGCAAGATTTGAAAACAAGTGCGAGGATTCTAAACATTAATGTCATTATTAGAACCTGGAATACCAAAATATGCATGTCAAATCCAAAGATCATAATTAACCACAACTTCGAGAATAATAGTTGGTGATTCACTACAACCTACATATTGACCTGTGAAAGCAGTAGTACAATTTATTTTTTTTATTTCCAATGCATACAATCTAAACTGTCCAACAACTTGAAAAAACCACGAGATTCTCCAATATGAAGCAACATTGCAATATCATTAGCATTAGGATGTCGAAGATATTCAATTGAAAAAATTTCAACGATGGCACGAAAAAATCTCTTAACACTTTCAATTGTCGTTGATTCACCAATTTTAATGTACTCGTCAATTGAATCTGCATGTACACCATATGTTAACACCCAAAAAAAAATACCAATTACCTTTTGTAAGGTTGACAAGCCAAGTTTGCCAAGACCATCTATTCGTTGTTGAAAATAAGGATCATGATCTTTAACCGCATCAACAATACGAAGAAACAGGCTTTGAGACATTCAAAATCGTCGAGGAAACATTTGTTCATTATATAAAAGATTATTTGAAAAATAATTATTATATAAATTACGATATGAACTTCCATGATCACAATTAATTAGTTGATGACCTGAGATAAAACCTCGATGGATTAATTGAGAGAGATTAAGTAACTGTTCTAGATAAACATTATTTTGGATCAATATGAAGATTGTTGCTTCATCATCTTGAATGAACTCCATGAAAAATTCTACTCACATTTTCATCATCTAACGATGAAAAGTTACTTATATTGAATAAATAATATTGTTTTGATGGATGAATATATGTTTGATAAATAAACCTTCGTTGAATGCCCACTAATTTATATAATAAAAAATTTAGATAAAATATAAATATATGATAATTGTTTGGATAATATAGATATTCATCTAATGGATGAAATGAAGATGAAATTAATCGAACGATCAGGATTGCTCTAACATGGATAAGTAGATTTTTATAATTTTTAATATATAATAATTATTTAGATAATATAGATATTCATCCAACGAATATGAAAATGAAATCTTATCGAATGAGGACATTGATAAGTAAATTTTTATAATTTATAATATATAATAATTATTTGAATAATATAAATATCCATCCAACAAAATGAAATGAAGACGAAATCCAAACGAATGATCAAGATTACTTAGACGATAAGTAGATTTTTATAATTTATAACGTATAATAATTATTTGGATAACATAGATATCCATCCAACATATGAAATGAAGATGAAATCCAAAGGAACGGTTCCGATTGCTTTGATTTGGATAAGTAGATTACATTCAAATACAAAATAGATAATTGAGATTGGTAAAAAAAAAAAAACTGTTTTGATTCAATAACTAGAGTGTTTTGAAATCTAAATAAACGTTTGAGATTAAATTTTTTTAATGGATAAGATTTGATATCTATTCAAAATTTGTCTATAAATATATCTTTCCAACATTTGAGTTATTGCACCACAACAACTCACTTATCATTCTAATATAACAAGAGTTTATTAAATATTTATCTCAAAATGTCCATCCGAGGGGTGGTTATAGTCATGAAAAAAATGTGTTGTTAATATCTCGTAAAATTTAATTATTGAAATATAACATATACACAGCTGCAAAAAATAAGGAGATTTGGTCTACGTGTATTTCTCGGATAGAGTCAAAATACATAAAACACCGCAAAAACTCGGCCCCGAAAATGGAGCAGAAATATAACATGTACATAGCTGCAAAAATAGGGAAATTTGGTCCAAATGTATCTCTCGGATAGGGTCGGGTCGAAGCAATGGCTATTAAAAACTCCGGGTCGGATTTCGGTAGGGCGTGGCATACCCGATTCATTGCCATTACGTGCTTTCGCAGTAACGTGAGCCTGGGTTTCCAAGCTCCTCAATCCGAGCAGAGAACTATCTTTCGATTTTTTCGAAAACATTGGATTTTGAAGATTGTTCATTATCGGGACAGTGAGCTGAGAGGACTGCACATCTATCCACACTCTGGATCACGAGAAGCGAATTCGTAGTTTTTGGGACTCTATTATCATCATCATCATCATTATTATTATTATTATTGTCGGTGATTTGGGGAAAAAATTGGCCTGGAACAGGTTCGATTCTGACCTACTTTTAGTAATGAATAATCAATGTGGCGGAAGTCATATAAGGCTTTATGCGTATTTTGCACTGTTATTTTCTCTCGAATTGGGTGTTTTTTTTTTTTTTTTTTTTTTTTTTTGTGGGAAGGTATATTTGTTGAGCCGCTGTGTTGTTTGATGAATATGATACGTTAGGGCAAACCATCAAAATGTTTTGACGTTATTAATTTTCATTGCAGGTTTATCGATGGTTAGCTGTTGCCGTCGGTTATTAATTCGTTCTCGGCTTGTTTCTCTCAATTTGGTCAGGTTTTCAGAGGGATTAGTGTCCTGTGTTGTTTAAGCTAGGTGGGAATTTTTTGTGGGTCTTGTTTGAAGGAGTTCATGGAACCGTATAACCATTGATGTGTTCAGAAACTTGCATTAATTTGCCATGAGTTGGAAGGGAATTTTACTTGCAATTCTATGTCTTGCTAACTTGGGTGAATCAACGGATAGATTGGCAAAATCTTGGCCTGTCAATGTCAATGCTGGGACCTCTTCACTCTATAGCTTGGCAGTTACTAGCGCTGCTGTATTTGCAGTGGTTGCCCTAATTCTCTCCATGTATCTCATCTTTGAGCATTTGGCTGCTTACAATCAGCCAGAGGTTAGTCTTGACTTGATATTTTAAATCATGTTTCTAATTTGGCAACATATATCTTTCTTTGTGTAATTTGATTAGCACTATTACTTGTGCATTTGATTTGTTTTTGGTTTGAAATCTCAGAAAGCTGCTTTTGTTGTTTCTCTGTCTTTCTTAGTTAGTTCATCATTCATTTTATTATGAGTTTTATTTTGTTCGATTCAGGAGCAGAAGTTCTTGATTGGTCTCATTCTGATGGTCCCTGTTTATGCGGTGGAATCGGTAATAATACCTGGCTGAGGACTTGTATTTGCATCATCCATTCATTCATAAAGCATCATGAAAGATTTGTTGTTATGTGATAACTTTGAAGTGGTTGTGGTTAGGTTTCTTGTTGATGTTGTTATGTTTTTTCGACAGTTTTTGTCACTAGTAAATTCGGATGAAGCCTTCAACTGTGAAATTATTCGAGATTGTTATGAAGCTTTTGCCTTATACTGCTTCGAGAGGTACCTCATAGCTTGTTTAGGTATGTCTTCTGATAATAATTTGCTCTCTAACATTATAATTTTCTGGAAGGTGTTTATCTTGAACATATTCTGATAAAAGATATATCCATAAATATACGTATATATCTCATTTTACTGAATTTATGCAGAATAAATTCTTGTGCATGATGAGAAATGGTGCTTCAATTAGTGATTTTCTAAGGATCAATCTAGAAAAATATTCCTTCGAAATTCATGGCTAAAAGAATTAAGCTTCTCATAGCTGTTGATTTGATGATACCTGATTTGATGATACCATTGCGTGTAATATTTTAATCATATTTGTAAATTAGATGATCCAAGTATGTGGCAATGTGTAATAGAGTTTTCCCTTGTTACAATTATGTCTGTGAAAGTACAGGGTACCTTACAATAATGTCATATCAATGAGATAAAAATGACTAAAAAATTCGTGTTTATTAATCTTACACAAATTTATATTTTTTGTTTGAAACATATTTGTTTTGGGTTTGTATTTTGAGTTTTAATTTTGAATAGTAGAATTTTAAATTTGATTAGTTATTTGACGTGATATAAATAGGAGTTGATTTGATATTTTGAATATATAATTTATTTTAAATGTAATATAAAAAATAAAAAATAAGTATTTGAAATGATGTTTTTGGAGAAATTTTTTTTTGTGAATAGTAGAAATCTTGTGAAGTCTTCCGAAAGAACCGCATCAGCTTTGTGGTTTCTGGAGTTTTGGAAGTAGTAAAAGGTTGAGCGTTCAATGTGCTGTTTTGTGAGAGAATAAATATTTGAGGTGATGTATTTTTGAAAAAATTTACTATTGATGAATAGTGTCAAAGGTTAAAGAAATGTGTATGTAAACATGGCATAAGCATCTTAAAGGGAAAATACATTTTGCGCTGTGCAGGTGGAGAAGCGAGTACCATTGAATTTTTTGAAAGTCACGGCTTTTCAACTTCTGGCGTACCTCTTTTAGATGATGCTTATGCTTATGGAGTTGTTGAACATCCATTTCCGTTGAATTGCTGCATAAGGGTTTGGAAGCTTGGCTCTGATTTTTATCAAGCTGTGAAAATTGGCATTGTTCAATATGTATGCCCTCCATTATCAAAGACTTACCTTGTATGATCATTTCTGTGTTCTAAGCTGACCTAAAGCTTTACATCCACAGATGATATTGAAGATGATCTGTGCCCTACTGGCAGTACTTTTTCAGCATTTGGGTGTTTATGGGGAAGGAAAGTTTGAGTGGGGATATGCGTAAGTTGCTTACTTCATACCTGTTTCTTCAGCTTGGCAATTTAGCCAATGTCATTTGACTTTGACTTTGCCTTTCTATTTACATTTGATTGTACTGGCCTATATATTTATTGAAACCAGTTGAAATCTTTCCATGTAGTTTTCACAAGAAGAGTTTTAAGTATCTTTATATAATCTTAAATTTGTAATCTGCCTGCAGTTATCCATATTTGGCAGTGGTTCTGAATTTCAGCCAGACCTGGGCGCTGTACTGCCTCGTGCAATTCTATGCTGTGACGAAGAATAAATTGGCACCAATTAAACCTCTGGCCAAGTTCTTAACATTTAAGTCAATTGTTTTCTTGACATGGTGGCAAGGAGTTGCTGTGGCCTTTCTCTTCTCTTTTGGAGCCTTGCAAGGGCCTCTGGCTAAGGTTTTGAAAACACGCATACAGGACTATATCATCTGCATTGAGGTTTGTGGAAAATCAATTCTGCTTTTGTTATGCATGGACATGTGCTAATCAGTATCAAGTTGTATATAAAAGCAATGGAATCATTAACTGGTCAATAATTTTTCCTACCTTGTCATTTCTTCTGAGAGATGGAATTATATAGTGTCAAAGCAATAATCAAAATTCATCCATAAGGTTCTTTTTCTTCGGACAAGAGTGTTTTACAGTACTATATCAATGTAAATTGGATCCTACCAACTTGTGGTTTTGCAATTGAGTTATTTGATAGACTGCCTGCCTCTTTGCTGTTTCGGAGAAGATAAGTGATATACATCGGTTGACTTTGAACTTGCTATCATTCTTTAATTAACAAATTTCTGAATATTGATGTTGGTTCAGATGGGTGTTGCTTCAGTGGTACATCTTTATGTGTTTCCGGCTGTGCCATACAAACGAGGGGAGCGATGCGTAAGAAACGTTGCTGTGATGGCAGACTATGCATCTTTAGGATCCCCACCTGATCCTGAAGAGGTTCGTGACTGTCAAAGATTCACCAAAGGTCGGTTTTCCCAGCACGATGAAGAGAGACGGCAGCGCCCAAGACTCCACCAGAGTGTCCGTGATGTTGTTGTTGGAAGCGGTGGAATTGTGAGATTCATAATTCTACTCTACTCTGTATATATGTACAATTGTACATACATACATACATACCTACGTAGGTACTGTCTTCCTGATTCTTTCTCTAATAATGAATCAATCACTCGCAGATGGTGGACGACATGAAGTTCACAGTGTCACACGTCGTAGAACCGGTGGAGAGAGGCATTGCAAGAATCAACCAAACTTTCCATCAGATATCCGAAAATGTGAAACGGTATGAAAAACAGAAGAAGTCTAAGGATGACAGCCATCTCGTCCCATTGAGATCGTGGACGAAAGAATTCTCAGACACTGGCGATAAGCTGATCGAAGGGAGCGCCAGCGACAGCGACCTAGTCAGAGGCCTTGGCCTATCCAACCATAAGAAGAGATCATCTCATTGGAATTCGAAATTGAAAGCATCAGTGTCATCTTCTTCACAGATGCATAACAACAGCTAACTTGATTGAGAGAGAGACACCCACCCTGATCCTTCCTTGTTTACCCTAACCAGGCTTACTCTGTCTAATAGGTTTATTATTAACTCATTTTTACATACCAAAAAACAGTGAGTAGTATACATGTAAAGCATATGCTGATGCAGTTTTATTTTTGGTTCCAAATTTGAAAGCAATGCTTGACTATATACGATGATGATGATGATTAAGTGCCAAGCAATTCATGATCGTCCAGTCCCATTGTCCAATAAATGTGAATTGGTCATCCTAATCAACAAGTGTTACTTGGACGATGAATTTATTTTACTCTGTTGTGACACTTCAAATACTTATATAAGCACTTCTTTCGGCTATACATACACACGTATATATATAATGCATATTACTTAAATACTATACTTACGTTATATTTTAATATTTCATTGTCTCGTATATATTATTACATAATACATTCTAGGTTTGAAAAATCAAACTGAGTGGGATAAAGTCATGCATAATTCTGCACTTCTTTATAAAATGAGCAGAAAAACTGAAAAAGAAAACCAAAAATTACTTAACGTCCCTAGCTGGGGCCGACAATAAAAACAGGTGTTCGATTGTCTCCTCCCCTCATGGCAGCATGTACACTTTGAGGCAAGATGAAATTCAAGTCGACGTGTGTGTTTGTTCGGGGGTTTGGATTTTGGGTTTGGATTTGAATAGTAAAAGTTTTGAATTTGAATAGTTGTATGATATGATATAAATATTTTGAATGTAAAATTGATTTTTAGTATAATATAAAAAATAAAAAATAGGTGTTTGATTTGATGTTTTTTGGGAGAAAAAAATGGGATGAATAGTGTATTTAAAATCCAATCCCCCAAACAAACACACCCGTAGTATAGAATGAACATGAGGTTTTTTTTTTGGGAGATGTGCTCATGCGCGATGCCCGCAGCCAAAAGTTGATTCACGACGAGGGAAAAAAGAGCTTTAGGCTAATTGTGGCAATGACCTGAAGCCTAAGTCTATTATTAAGTACCTTAGTTCTTTATTTTCTTATTTGATTATTTTGAGTAAATTGTTAGATTGGTTGGGCCTAGGCTCATAGTAGTTTTGCCTTAGTATTTAAGTATTATTTTGAGACATTATTATCATTCCGATTTCCTTCAGTTTCACGGCTTCGGCTTGGTCGGGAAGAGTAGGTCTTCTTTGGTTATTAATAAAGTTTAGTCTTTTGATTCTCTTAAGTTCTCATGTTATCAAATTGGTCCGACCTGTCGGATCTTAGCGGAGGAGGATGATGCTAACAAATACGCAGCGCTTTGAAGCTTTGGAGGAAGCCTTGGAGGAACTTCAAACATGCATGAAAGCACAACAAGAAGGATTGTCGCGCCTCGAATCAAAGGTGGATCGACAAGTGGATACCCTGAAGACATAAGTTTCAGCAGCCATGCAAAATACGATTCTTAGGCTGTTGCCACATGGGCCGCCGAAATACACCTATTAGGGGCTCGGCGGCACAGGGAGCTATAGCGGGAGGAGGTGAGGCAACGGATTTGTTGACGAGGGCTGCCGGCATCAGCGGGGAAGCACGTCTGTTTAAGGATGTTGGAGGAACGTGGACTACTCCGACAACTGATTTTAAGCTTAAGGATGCGCAACTCCCTAGCTTTGATGGCCACGACCCATTGGGATGGGTTGCTAGGGCCGAACAACACTTTGTATTACACGGAGTCCCTAAGGAGATTAAGGTGAGTCTTGCGCGAGTGGCGATGGAAGATGTGGCGCTCCATTGGTCCCGTTGACATATGATGAAGTATGCTTCTGCCTCATGGATCGAATTCTCACAGACATTGGTTACAAGGTTTGGCCATCAATTCATGGGGAATCCGTATGAGAGAATGGTAACGTTAAGGCAAATAGGTTCCGTTGATGAATATGTCAATTTATTCACTCAACTTGCTACTCATGCTCAACCACTGACAGAAGTGCAGGCCTTAGGTATTATTTAGGGGGCTTGAAATAAATTATCAGAAATAAGTTAAGGTTAGTGGAGCCCCCGGATCTCGAATCTACAATCCGCGTAAGCAGAAACATTGAATGGGAGTTGAAAGATGGATCTGCGGCAAAATTTTACCTGCGAAAAACCTCTTCGACACTGGTTGGGCGAGCTGAAAGCAGTATCTTCTCAAACATAGCTGGAGGGCTAGAGAACCGCCATTCAACTAGCAGCAATATTGTGGGAGGGGGGGGGGCAATGATCAGTCACTTTAACCCCTTCTTCAAAAGAAAGCACAAGAAAATTAAGTCGAGACGAGTATCGCGAGTGTCAAGAGAAACGGCTTTGTTACAAGTGCAAACAACCTTATAGTCCAGTCCACAAATGCGAAAGTAAATATTTTAATGTTGTGGTGAAGGATGATTTAGGCAACTGGGTTGCGGAGTTAAGGGAGATGAGAGAGGGCGAATTTACTGAGGAGGCGGGACTTACCTTGGAAAGTGACCAACCGCCCAATGAGGAAACAACACAGGGGGCCCTTCCTTTATACACCTTGGCTGGATTTTTACGACCCCGAACCATGCGTCTCCGTGGTAGTCTTTTTGGATTTAGGGTAATGATACTAATCGACAACGGTGCAAGCCATAATTTTATTTCCCAAAAATTTATTCTACATGCAAAATTAAACGTAGACGCCACACAGGAATTCAACGTGGTACTAGGCGATGGTCGCAAGGTGGAAACTACGAGAGTCTACTCGAAATTGAGTATACAGATCAATGGAGCAAGAGTGCAGGCAGACTGTCACGTATTTCCTCTTGGTGGGGTGGATATAATATTGGGTGTCGCATGGCTTAGGACATTAGGAAAAATTCAGATGGATTGGGAAGCCTTGGAGATGTAGTACTATTTGGCGGGACAGCAGGTGACCTTGCGCAGCTCGGCGTACCACCTGGAAATTGACGGCCAAACTGACGTTTTGAACCGCACACTAGAGACATACCTTCGTTGTATTTGCTCGTAACAGCCCCAAAAATCAGCAGCGTGCCTACCATGGGCTGAGTTATGGTACAACACCTCCCACATTTCCGCTGCCACTACTCCCTTCTTGACCGTCTATGGCCGACCGCCACCCACACTGCATAGTTTCTTGCCAGAGAAATGCCGAGTTGTTGCAGCTTCAGAGTTACTTGGCGGCCGCGAGATAGTTCTGTGACAGTTGAAACACCACTTGGAACGTGCTCAACATCACATGGTGCGGGCAGCCTACGCCCATCGCCGTGTGCTCACCTTCCAGGTTGGTGACTTGGTATTCTTGAAGGTTAGACTCTATCACCAAGGCAGCTTGCGCCAAGGCACCCATCACAAGGTCATGCCCAAATTTTATGGACCATTCCGCGCCCTTCACTACGTGGGAAAGGTCGCATATAAGCTGGATTTTCCAGCTACTAGCCGTATCCATCTTGTGTTTCATGGATCTCAACTTTGTCGAGTGTTGGGCAATCATCCAGTCAAGCCTCATTTACCCGACAACCTAGAGGTCGAGCAGCTGCCTGTTTATGATCCTGAAGTTGTTCTGGACAGATGATTGATCAAATGTACCGGAATTATGGTTCCTCAAGTCTTGATTCAGTGGCGTGGTCTTCATCCAAATAATGCGACTTGGATCGACGAGGAATAGTTCTGTGCTCAGTTCCCAACCTCTTGGCTGGAAGACAAGGCAGTTCTTAAGGGAGATGCAGTTGATACGAGGTGGGCGCAGTCAAAAGTTGATTCACGATGAGGGAAGAAAGTACAAGTGCGCTTTGAGCTAATTGTGGCAATGGCCTGAAGCCTAAGTTTATTATTAAGTACCTTAGTTTATTATTTTCTTATTTGATTATTTTAATAAATTGTTAGGTTGGGTTGGGCCTAGGCCCATAGTAGTTTTGTCATAGTATTTAAGTATTATTTTGAGACATTATTAGTATTATGATTTTCTTCAGTTTCACGGCTTTGGCTTGGTTGAGAAAAATAGTTCTTCCTTGGTTATTAATAAAATTTAGTCTTTTGGTTCTCTTAAATTCTCGTGTAATAATGTGCTAATATATATAAAGATATTATTCTTTATATTTTTAGAATTACCCAAAAGATTGCAAATATTTTGTTCTAAAAATATTTTCATCTTGTCCCAAGATACCACTGCCCATAAACCTTAGCCAAAATTTTGATATAATTATTTGATTATCTTTTAATACAATTATGACTAACTAGCCAAGTTCAAACTCTTCAACCGACTATTACATGAAAAAAAAATAAAAATAAGAAGAACACCTCGTTATGCCAAATTCAAAGAAATAAACTCATGTAAAAATACTGCTAGTAGTGATGATGAGATGAGATGAGATTTTACTAATAACACACATGTGTCTTAACTTTTGTATGCATTAGCATATTTTAAGAAGCCCATTGTTTATATTTTGAGCACTTTAATAATGTAATTTGAGATTTTGTACCTTTTATTTCATTATATCCGTCCCTTAACAATTTATTCATTTTTTCATATTGGTCTATTCCATAACAAAATATCTGTATTTTTTTTTTTCAGTAAATGTATTATTTACCTAGTATTTCAAATATCATTCCAATTTATAATATATTACACAAATGTAATTACCTTTATATCATATACTAATAAGGTTAGTTTAGTCTTTTTAATTTTATTTCTGCTATATTCCAATATAATACTAATATTTTTAAAACTCAGTGTACAAAGTAAATGGATAAATAGATATGAGACGGAGAAGGTATTATTATTTTTTATATTTAAAAAAAATTATATCTTTTAGACAAAGCATTGATTCATGCCATCGAAAAAAATAAAAATTATATTTTACAATATAAAATTGAACAAAAATTCAACTTTATTAAAAAAATAAATAATAAGATCAGTAATATATATATATATATATGAAAATTATGGAGCAAAATCAATTAGCCGCCTAATAATGGTATGCGTCTAATCGTATAAGGAGCTAATATAATCCTAGCAAATACCTAAAGAACAAACTTAACCAAACTACCCTGTGATCCAATTTCAATATGCCATAATCTTCCCATCCTGTTCTAAATTGGATATAAACAAATATTTACTGAAAATTATATACGATCAATTAAGATATTCCCCAAAGAGACAACCAACCCT